GTTGGATGAGCTGATTGGAAATCTCACTGCCTATGAACTGAGAAGGCAAACCATGAAGATGGATTCACCCAAGAAGGAAAGAAGCCTGGCTATCAGAATAGCTGAAGGTGCAGACTTAGAGGATGATGAAATGACTGTGATCACAAGGGATTTCAAGAAGTACCTAATGAGAGGAAAGGGTTCTTCAAGAGGTGCAACCTTCAACAAACCAATGGCCCCTGAAAAACAAACCAACGAGGGCTGCTATAAATGTGGTAAGACTGACCACATGATCAAGAATTATCCTCAGTGGGAAAAAGGGTTGAATGAAGAAACAGGAAGAAGGAACAGGTTCAACCCAAGAAAGCTCAGATGAGGATTCAGAAGATGAAGCTAGAGATGAACAAGCACTTATGGCCATTGGAGAATCAGATGATGAACAAGAGGTAACTGTGATTCATCTCAAAGACAAGATTAAATTTTTGTCTAAAGAAAAGCTATCTGAATTACTTCTAGACTTTATTGATGAGTCTGAGGTCATAAACAATGAGAAGGAACAGCTGTCTAGGGAATGTGTGATCCTAAAAGCTAAGTGCAAAAATCTGGAACTCAGGGCTAGTGAAAGAGATAGTAAAAATATTGAGTTGAAAAGCCAGGTTCTTGAAATTGACACCACTGTCTTAGAACATAGATCTGAAAATTTAGAACTGAAATTAGGAACAGGTAAAAAGAAAGTTGATCACACACACCTCACCTTAGAAGAAAATCTAGGAAAAATGAAGGATGAGTTGTACAAGAGAGATGAGCAGATAAGAGTCCTAAAAGAAGATCTAGGCAAGGTTAAGCATGAACTAGACAGAACTTGCAAATGGAATAAGTCCTCTGATGCACTATCTTGGCTATAAGAACATCACAGTAGCACTAAGAGAAGACTTGACTATGGAACCCCTGCACCTAAGTGGGATCCCAAAAGCAAGTATATCACACTTCCTAAGAACAAAATCTGCACACACTGTGGTAAGACTGGTCACTTTAAAAGTGAATGTAATGCAAAAGAAAAGGCCAGTCGGAAGAACAAAACCTTTGTTCAAGGGAAAAATAGGCTGCCAGGATGGGCTAAAAGGAATTTAATTCATCCTTTCGCCTATAGAAAGGGACCCAAACTAGTTTGGGTCCCTAAGACTAACTCCTGATTTTCTTTTGTAGGTCAAAGTGAAGGGAAGCAGCCAAATATGGTACATGGATAGTGACTGCTCAAAACATATGACTGGTAGCAAGAACCAGTTCCTTTCACATGAGGACCTCAAAGGAGGAAATGTCTCCTTTGGAAATGGTAAAAAAAGTGAGATCATTGGGGTTGGAAAGGTAGGTAAGACAGACTCACACTCCATTGAGAATGTCTACTTGATAGATGTCTTGAAATATAGCCTAATCAGTATATCACAACTGTGTGACAGAGGTAACTTGGTAGCATTCACCTCTACCAAATGCTTTGTGATAAATCTTAGCACTGACAAGATTGTTTTGCAGGGAAAAAGAGTAAACAATATATACATTATAGATCTGTCCACTCTTTCAGAAAATGAACTCACCAGTCTAAGTGTGTTGGACAATGATCCCCTCCTTTGGCACAAAAGACTTGGACATGCAAGTCTAAGTCAACTCAACAAATTAGTCTCTGAGGACCTGGTGATAGGGCTGCCTAACATCAAGTTTAAGGAATACAAAGTTTGTGAGGCTTGTGCAAGGGGGAAGCAGGTAAGATCCTCTTTTAAAAGTAAGAAAGTGGTAAGCACGACCAGGTCGATGGAACTGGTTCATATGGATCTCTGTGGTCCAATGAGAACATTGAGTAGAGGTGGTAAGAAATATGTGATTGTGCTTGTTGATGATTACTCTAGGTTTACTTGGACATTTTTTTTAACATCTAAGGATGAAGCATTTGACATGTTTACTGCCTTTGTTAGAAAAACTCAGAAACAACTAGGTAATCAACCTGCATCAATTAGGTTTGATCATGGAACTGAATTTGAAAATGCTAAGTTTGCTGAATTTTGTGATGAGCATAGTATAGATCATAATTTTTCTGCCCCTTGGACTCCTCAGCAAAATGGAGTAGTTGAAAGAAAGAATAGGGCTATTGAAAATATGGCTAGGACTATGCTTCTTTCCAGTAAACTGCCCCATAGCTTCTGGGCAGAGGCTGTAAATACTGTATGTTACATCATTAATAGGTGCATGACTAGACCTCTTGTAGAGAAGACTCCCTATGAGTTACTTAAAGGGAGAAAACCAAATATATACCATCTTAGGGCATTTGGATGCAAGTGCTTTGTGCACAATAATTGAAAGGACTCCCTAGGTAAGTTTGATCCCAGAGATGATGAGCGAGTATTCTTGGGATATTCTTCATATAGCAAAGCTTATAAAGTGTACAACAAAAGAACTTTGTGTGTAGAAGAAAGTGTACATGTAGTTTTTGATGAAAAAAACATTCTTCAGAGAGACGGGAACATGAAGATAAGGATATTGAGCTGGTAAAAGAATTGAGTGAAGTCACAGCTCAAACTGAAGCCGCACCAAAAGAAGGAACAGGTGATGGAACATGTTCTTCCATCCAGGGCAACCTGACAGGGGGAACTGAACAAAGAAGAAGTGAATCTAATTTCCAAATGGAACCTATCCATGAGCCTGTTCCTCAATAACAGAACATGGTAGAAACTCCAAACAGAAATCAGTTGGTTGTGAAACCTTACAAGTATCAAAGTTCTCATCCCATTGAGAATATCCTTACTGATCCAACTTCTGGAGTTAAAACCAGATCTCAGTTAAAGAATCTATGTGCTTTTGATGCATTCTTATCTCTTATTGGACCTAAAAATGTTGCTGAAGCTTTGCAGGATGCAGATTGGGTGAATGCAATGCAATATGAACTCAATCAGTTTGAAAGAAGTCAAGTGTGGCATCTGGTCACTAGACCCAAGGACAAATCAGTAATTGGCACTAAATGGGTCTTCAGAAACAAACTTGATGAAGATGGAACGATAACAAGGAACAAGGCAAGGCTGGTGGTCCAAGGTTATAGCCAAGTAGAGGGCATAGATTATGATGAGACCTTTGCTCCAATTGCAAGACTAGAGGCTATAAGACTCCTCATAGCCTTTGCAGCACACATGGAATTTACCCTTCACCAAATGGATGTGAAGAGTGCCTTCCTAAATAGCTACTTAAAGGAAGAAGTCTTTGTCAAACAACCTCCAGGGTTTGAAAGTAAGGAGTGTCCAGATCATGTATACAAATTGGACAAGGCCCTATATGGACTCAAGCAGGCTCCTAGAGCATGGTATGAACGTCTATCCAAATTCCTTCTTGAACATGGATATAAAAGAGGTAAGATTGACAGCACACTATTCTTGAGGGAAAAAGGTAAGGATCTACTAGTAGTACAAATATATGTTGATGACATAATTTTTGGGGCAACCACTGAAAAACTGAGTGAGGAATTTGCTAAATTAATGGGGAGTGAATTTGAAATGAGTATGATGGGTGAGCTTAACTTCTTCTTAGGTTTACAGATCAAACTAAATCCAAATGGAACCATGATCCATCAGCAGAAATATGCAAAAGAGTTGATTAAGAAGTTCAAAATGGATGAATCAAAAGAAATAGACACGCCCATTGCAACAGCTACTAAATTAGACATAGATGAACCTGATTCATATGTTGATCAGAAGTTGTATAGGGGTATGATTGGTTCACTTTTGTATCTTACTGCTAGCAGACCTGGCATTGTTTTCAGTGTAGGGCTTTGTGCTCGTTTTCAAGCAAATCCTAAGGAATCCCACTTGACTGCTGTCAAGAAGATACTGAGATATTTGAAAGATACTACTGACCTTTGCCTTTGGTACCCTACAAGTAGTAACTTTAATATAGTAGGATATCCTGATGCTGACTATGCAGGTTTCCTTGTAGATAGGAAAAGCACCTCAGGTATGGCTCATTTTCTTGGTTCATGTCTGGTATCATGGGCCACTAAAAAGCAGAATTCAGTGGCCCTATCCACTGCTGAGGCTGAGTATGTTGTTACTGCCTCTTGTTGTTCTCAACTGCTGTGGATCAAACAACAGCTGATGGATTTTGGCATTGAAGTTGGTTGCATCCCTATCTTTTGTGATAATACTAGTGCTATTAGTATGACTAAGAACCCAGTTCATCATATGAGGACTAAGCACATAGATGTTAGACATCACTTCTTCAGGGACAACTATATGAAATGATTTATTACTATAGAATTTTGTGCTACTGATAAACAAATTGCTGACATCTTTAACAAAGCACTAAGTAGAGAAAGCTTTGAAAGGAACATGTTAGAATTAGGGATGAATAAGATCACCTAATGGAACCAGCTCAGAATGCACAATGAAAAAAAAATTGGCTAGGAAATCTGGAACTTGTGTAAATATCTAGATTAGTTTTTACTCAATTTCATACTATAAATAGTATACTCTGGTGACATTTGTTGATAAGACTCACTGATCTCTAACAAAATTTTCTCTATTTTGGTAAATTGAGGCATGATCAAGAGGATTCTAAATGAAGAACATGGTTCATCAGTGTTAGTTCATCTGAATATCGAGGTATGTTTTTTATACTCTGCACAATTAGAAATATAAATATTTAAATCATGAGCAGAGTCCTACCTATGTTCATAAACATCAGAAATTCCTATCCGTTTATTTTTTAACCAGTTCCGTCTCTACTAGAATTCTCATCACAAAAAAAGGCCTAAAATCTAGGGAAGCTTAACCGCTCATTCAACCTGAAATTTCATGTTGATTGGACTTCTAATTAACTGCAAAAAGCTACCATTAGTCATTAATTAAGTTTCTCTCTTTAAAAACCCATCATCACCTTCTGCCACTCTCATAAATCTCTAAACCGTCGAAATTTCTTCTTTCACTCTCAAATTGCTCTCTCTTCCAAAAGCCAAACTCAAAAACTCTCTCACGAAATCAGTGACAATGTCTAACCCCCAGGATAACCCAGGCACTCCTCCACAACCCACCCCCTCTGATTCATCCACCCCTCCTCCACCCAACACAACCCCTCAACCCAGGCGAAGGCGAGTAAAAATGCTTGCTCGCAAAACGGTGGCAACTGGTGCTCTTTCAAGGAAATTGAATGAAAAACTAAAGGCAAGGCAAGCCCAAGATTCAGAGAACTCAGATGATTCGTTCAAATCTGCGAGTGAGGGGAAAGGAACTAGGTCTTCTGACTCTGAGAAGGCTCTAAACTTCTCTTCTGAGGTACGTTCTGTTTTGGTTGAGAATGTAGACAATAGGTTTGTTCTGGTTGGTTCTGTTGGGAATGTTGAATTGCCTGAGTCAAGAAGGAGAGGTGGTAAAAATAAAGGTGAAAAAGAAAAAGAGAGTGAGGGTGTGCGTAGTATTGTGAGGGGAAAATGGAAAGAAGTGGTTGGTTCTTTACCCTCTTCTGATTTGGTGGTACCAGCTATCTGTGGGGTTTATCGTGCAACTGAGGAAGAAAGTAGCAAGAAAACAGGGGGGAAGTGGCTCAGGGGAGGCTACTGAAGGGTTGGTTAGTCATAGTTCACAGGCAGATGAATCTGGTTCATCTATTAAGGATACCCTAGTAGACCTTCTAAAGAAAGTGGGTTCTAGCTATGATCCAAAGAAAAGGAGAACGATAACCACAAAAGCCCCCAGCACTGCCAAACCCTCCAAAAAAAGAAAAGCTTCTTCTCCAACAACTGCTGAAATTCCCTTGCCAAAGGGGAGAGCCACAAGAAGTATGGTGAAATAGAGTGAGAGTGAATTACAAAAGGCTTTGGTCGAAAGCAAGAAGAAGAGGGTGGATAAAGGAAAAGCTAAGGTTGTAGAGCCTTCTGAGGATGTTGAAGTTGAGAAGATGGAACAAATCCATCATGAGGAACATACAACTGTGGAGGTTCAGACCCCCAAGCCTAAAAAGACCAGGACTTCTTCCAAGAAGTCTTCATCAGGGTCTAAAGCTGCTGAACCTTCATTGGCCGAGAGGATAAGGTCTGCAGTGAAAAACAAACCAGTTAGAATTGCTGAGGATGAAGAATGGAGTGGTGAAGACGAGAGTGAGTCTGATGATTAACAAGACAAGTTGGCCAAGTTTGGCAAAAGAAAAATGTCGAAGGGTAGATTGCTGAAAGACTTGGTGGAACCAGGAATGGTTCGTTTGGTTGATGCACTAGTTGTTCAGGGCTGGAAGAACATGGTCCTTCAGATGGATGGAAGGCTAGCCAGGAATGAAATCATTGAATTTATGGCCAATGCATAGGTCAAGAATGGCAGAGTTACCAGCCAAGTGAAAGGGGTTCAAGTGACCTTCGATGCAGAGAAGCTGGGTGAGATTCTTGATATTCCTGATGAGGGATATGATGAATATACTAGGCAAAGATGGCCAAGTCTGGATTCCCTTCCTCCTGCCCTTGAAATCACTACGAGATTCTGTGACGTTGAAAAAGTGAATGAGGCCAAGTTTGTGCACAAGAGTGAAATGAAGCCACAACACAAAGTCCTATTTGAATTTGTCAACAAGTGCCTACTGCCCAGGCAGGAGAGAAGGCACATTGCTGACGATATGGACTTAGTTCTGATGGAGTGTCTCGAAAGTGGAAGACAAATCAACTGGCCTACATTCATCGTCAAGTTACTAGACAGGGTTATCAATGGCTCCAAGGCCCATGCTACTCCTTATGGGTTTATTCTGACTACTGTGCTTGATCGTTGTAAGGTGCCACTAAAGAAGTGGGAAATGGCTACAAGCAAGGATCACTTTGGAATCAACACTTTGATTGCTTGTGACTATGAGGTCACTGCCATTCCGAAAAAACCTGGTTCGTCCAAGAAGACACCTATAAATAGCAAAGTCAGAGCTCTAGTGCAGGAGAGTGGGGCAAAGGATACTGAGATAGCTAGGCTAAAGGCTCGCTTAGTAGAGGTTGAATCTGAGAGGGATGCTCTCAGAACTGAGCTTACCAAGGAAAAGGAGAAGAATGAGGGCATTTTTCAAAATATGTTGAATCTTCTCCAAGCCCAAAACCAACCCCCTAGCTCTTCCAAGCCTTAGAATCTCTGGCCTTCATCTCCTGAACCTGTATAGTACCACCAGTGACACGGTTTAGTGATTTCTCTCTCTTTTGCTCATGTTTTGAATATTTTGCTTTCTTTTTGTGGATTGTGGTAGCAACATATCTCCTATCAATAAAATCTACTATTTTTGCTCTTGTTGATTGTTAATATTTCCTTGAATAGTTTGAATGTGTTTGCTTGATTGCTGATGATTAATCCATGATTGCACTTGTAGTTGCCCCAGTGGCCATGAGTAATTGTTAAAATTCTGGGAATCACACTTTGTTTGTGCAACCTTTCGATGATGCCAAAAGGGGGAAGAGATATTGTGCTTTATATATTCTGAATAAGTGATGTTTATAACCTAATGAACCTGGTCCTTGATGAAAAGTAAATTTTTCTTTGTTTTGATGAACAAACTGAGTTCTG